CTGATCAGGGTTCCTTCGGCCAGACGGAAGGAAGCGTGAGAGTGTTCCTTGATGTATCATTTTATTCTGACTTGCCGGTGGAATAGGAACCGGACTGATGCTCCCCAGAATGGAAACGGAGCCAGGGCCATAAGGACCTGTTTTATTTAAAAAAGAAAAAAAAGAAAAAAAAAAGAAAGGTAATGCTGTGGTCCATCTGGAAGGAAAGGTGCTGCAGAACCATTGACGGACTCTCAACTCCAAGAGAAGGTATGGGCAGAGACAAGGACCTTGATTCAGGCAGAGATTATTTGTAAGTGGCAAAAGACGAGACACTCCATGCCAGATGACGAAGAGCAACAGAGAAGAATCAAGGCAAAATCCACTAAGGTGTGGCTCGCAGGGGGCAAAGTAGCAGAGCTAAATGACCTTCGTATACAGTGGAAAGACTGATACAACTCAGAAGCAGGGTTGAGAAGGCAGAGATCCCAGCCAAGTTGAGCCAACAGATGGACAAGATCCATCACAGGCCACATATTATCGAAGGGCTAATTCCGAGATTGAATCCTCGGTAGCTTCTTGTACCTTTCTTGCTCTTTATTATTTATCTGATAGGTTCATGATATGGACCTGAGATTAAAGGTGGAAGAAAGGCAAGCTGACAGTCAATCCTCCACAATGCTGGAGTAATCAATGCTGGTCAGGGTTCCTTCCGCCAGACGGAAGGAAGCGTGTGTGTCATGATGTAACATTTTATTCTGACTTGCCGGTGGAATAGGAACCGGACTGATGCTCCCCAGAATGGAAATGGAGCCAGGGCCATAAGGACCTGTTTTACCGAAAAAAAAAAARAAAAAAAAAAAAGAAAGAAAAGAAAACGTGTGACCATAGGTCACTCACTCTGGCCCTGTATGTGACTAACTTTGTGCCTTACATACGGGTTTCAAAACAGTGCCTTTCTGGAGACCTGAGTCGTTGATTTCCGTTGGGGAAACGTTTCTACCTTTTCTTGATAAGCACAGTCCAATACGATGTTTTGAGTGCAATCTCTGGCTGGGTTGAACCCCTCGGTTGCCGTCTTCTCCCTGTTGTAGGGGGGTCCATTCCTTGTTCATCACCCATAACAGACCAGACATGTTCAGAAGGGTAGGGTTGGGGGCTAGCATCCCAATGATGTCTCGCACCAAGCTGCTCCAAGCCAGATCTTTGACTATCAATTTAACTCGCAAGTTGCAAAGCATTAGTTTCCTGTTTGGGGTCGCCAATTCCTAAGCCACCATCCACTGGTTTCCTTCTTGTGATGAATGCTAAGCTATCTTCGGGATGTAGTTCTGTTCATTCGGGTATCCTGGCCACAGAGGCTCTGGCTTTGATATGTAGTTCTGATAGGGCTTTGTCAGGGACCGTCCACATCACAGCTATTTACCAGATTATGGAGAAAATCGAGGAGTTCCTCGCCAGTCACGGTGATCTGTCAATCAGGAAAATGAATCTTTGGCCCATTTTCACAGTCTGTCAATCTCGTTAGACAAAAGATTTAGAGCCATATGTGGAGCACGGTCATCCAGAATGACCAGCACACTTAGGTACCTGGTGGGTGTTTCAAGCCTTTCCCAAGAGATCAGCTGTTCATCATCGGTGGATAACCGCCACCCAACCATCATGAAGCAAAACGAAAGGCTTCCATGTCTCGGGCTAGTGCCAAGAAAGATGAGTTCCAATCCTTTACTAATACAGTGGGGTTGTCTGTGAGTAGGATGAGTGATGGCTTGGGCTTGTGCCTTTGAAGGCCTTATTAAGACCGGATGAACACAATAGTGTGTATGTGATAGGAAAGTGCTAACGGATTGGACAGTGGAGTTAAGTGTGTAAAGGATACACTGCAGGAAAGTGTTGAGCAATGACTTACTGTGGAGGTGGTAGTTATTAGTAATTGAAAGCAAACTGGCAGAGGACCCTGACGAGATGATCATTGGATTGTTTCTTTATACAATTCAAACAAGCTGCTGCATATTGCAATTGGACTCAATTGTGCTTCATTAGCAGGTCAGCAGAATCATTCCCTCAACCCCTTTATGCATGCATGGGATGGTGGAATGACTCCTGTCTGCTACTGTGCATCTGCCTGTGTACACGGTTGTGGAAGTGAGCGGGATCCCGAAAATTCTGAGCTTCTCATCAGCATGCATCGTTGAAAATGATGCATGGTTGACGAGTCAGTATGTGAAGAGTATGCAATGACTACAAATATAAAAATGTGACAATGAGTTGTTACTGTCAGTGGTTTCTTGTGTGTCATTATTAGAATGATACACCCCAAAAAGTCTAAGGGGGATGCTTGGCGATAAAGTGTTTGAAAACTGAAGTGAACACTGCTTGTTCTTGAAGGTGAGCATGAGAGTGGAGTTCTGCTATCTGTCACACTTGTGTTGGTCTGTGAATACGTAATTTCTTTTGGGTTGAACACTCTTTAGCAGCCGTGATGGGGCAGAGCTCGTATTCCCTCATTTGCTAAATTACTGCACGCAGATTATAGACCTAGTCTGGCTCCAGGACAAGAGTGAGCATGTTGCCTCGGCATATATCTTCGGATAGTGCAGGTCGGTTCAAACTCAAGGCGACCTCCTCTTTCGCATTAGACAAGCTGCATCAGTAGGTATCATCTCTATACATGTAGAGCAGGTGGGGGGAGTGCCACGTGGGCAAGGTAGACTTTTAGCAGGCCTGCTCATTCCCCCCCCTCCTTTTCAGCCATGGGAGATGGTGTCAAAAGCATGGTTAGGAGCAGATTAGACCAGGATCCTTGACATTGTAGATGAGCCACAGTGAGTTTAGGGGATTTGGTTCGACCAAAGGGACTGCATACCACACTAGGATTCCAGCATGTGGGCAAAACAGCGTCAACTATCCGGGTAGAATCAGCATGCAGGGAGGCTGTAGGCATCCCTCAGCAAGAGCGTGATGTGTCAAGAATTCCTTTACCTTCTCCCTGCTTTTGCTTGATTCCGACAGGATCTGAACCATTCCATGAATTCCGATGGAGTCAATGGGAATGTTGCGGGAGAAAGGTGATCCTTGCACCCCCATGCAAACCCGTGTTCCCCGATTCGTGCTGTAGAGGACTGGCATCAGAGGACCACCCTGCACCAACAAAAGATGAACAACACGAGAATTTGATTTGAGCCCTTAATCAGATGATTTAGACAACGTACTTGAATTGAATTAGGACAAAAAGCTTGAATCTTAAACAAGCCCACGTGGCTGCAAAGTTGCAAACACAGCTAGGAAAGGTCGAGCAGGTGTGTGTGTGTGTGTGTGTGTGTGTGTGTGTGTGTGTGTGTGTGTGTGTGTG